CGTATAATTTCTATTATTCATTTTGACCAACCGTACGCTTTTAGAATGATTTTGTTTTTCTGTTTTCGTATTCAAAATGATCTAGGAAATAAACTACATGGTGTATGCTAATTTTCATCAAATCCATGCAACCGTTTTATAGTAAAAGATCAACAAACATCCACACGGACATCCATACAAACAATGTAAGAAAAAAACAATTGTACAACTTAGTGAATTCATAAGGAATGAATGATTACTATCTACAAGACTATCAGTGAAACATGAAATCATGTAGTTGATTTATAAATAAATCTGAGTCGGCGAGTTCGAATTTTTTTTTTAGTCTTAGTAGTTTAATCGTGAACGCTACAAATAGCATAAAAAAGACAAAGGGACATCTTCCTTCCCTACAATTTAATATAACAACGGAAGCCGCATGAGTCAGCAAGAAAAAAATCTGATTAATTTTCACCGTTACACTGCACGGAGACGAGTTCTTTTGAAATAAATGACTTTAATACGGTGACGAAGTAACAAACTAGTCAAAAGAAAAAGAAAGACTAATATGATTACTCAAGATTCTTGAAAACACTATGTTATACATTATACAAAGGAATATAATAAATATTCAAATAAAAATGACCTCTCTGATCCACTAAGATTTATTTTTTATCTGAGGACTACTAAGGAGATATCTAGCTGCAAAACATAAAATAAGATCTCAAGTAAATGTCAGTCTCGGGAAAATATTCTTATTATTATAATTTATAAATAAATGTAAAATTATTTACATATTCAGGCACAGACTTTAATAAGTTTAATTAGACAGTCTGCTCAAATAAAAGCAATGAAAGCGTAGTTCTGACACCTGGAAGTGCACGCGTAGCCGCCTTGGCGAAGTTCCAGCTCCACTGAACTTTGACAAACTTGGCGGTAAATTAAAACAAGGCAACGCAACGGAAGCAGAATCATGTTTTGATGCTGTTACATGACATGACGCATAATGCAGTGGTTTAAGTTCAAAAAGGACGATGTGTTTCTATATGAATGTATTTTACCAAATAATCTCTATGGCATTACACATTACCACAATGGAGCAGATAAATATTATTCAGACATGCAAATTGAGGGTGGACAGTGAAGCGAAAAATATATTTTGGTTGCAGTTTTCTGAGCGTATACTTCCCAAGTTGTGAATTAATTTTAAATACAAGGATAAAGAGAGTTTAAATATTTTAAAGTAATCTTAAATATTGTACTTGTCTAAATATAAGAAACTAATCAATAATAATAAAGAATCAATACTGGATATTTATTATTCATCTCAAAACCGACAAACAAGGTGTGTATATAATTCGACTATGACTAGATAAAGAAGGAAAACGTCAGCATTTTAAATCAAGCGCAACCACGCTTGCTTTTACTTAGTACTGCGTTTTGCTAGCATCGATTACTAGTCGGAAAGTGAAAACAACGCCATTTATACGGGACTAACAGAGGCCTAAGCACGAACTTCGGCAGATCCGTAATCGTATCGTCATCGTCAACTTTTGTATGGAAGGAGCCAGTTTGTTGTCCTACAGTCCGGAGTTTTCATAGAAAATTTAACGATGCGATACGATTATAGAACCGTCAAAGTTCCTACTTGGGACCTGGAATACAAACAATAAGCCTTTTTAAATAACCACCTTTTTTAAACTTACAGTGAGAAACATGAGATAATATATATATATATATATATTATATGTACTTCACATCACAACTTAGGTTTTGACTATTATTAATTGATTTCCATAAACAGAAACTACAAGGCGAGCGAGAGTAGCAAAATATTCTTCTTACACAGCTGAAATTACTGGAGGTGATGATTGCGGTGTCGTCATTGTAACTATATTTATGGGGTCATTGTACCTCCGATGTAAATTATTTTCATTTCCCAATTTTTGATTCACTTCCAGGCAGACAATTTTCATACATTGATTGCCCTCAACGAACTCAAACAAGAAAAATCGTTTCTTTACAAGCAGTCTCGACGTTTCTAATGAAACAAAGTAAAGAAAGGTGCTTTGAATTGACGGAGAGCTTTTTATGGCACGCTGCCGTTCGCCTTTTCATATGGTCTCATTAAGGCGCTATCATTCATTGATCGTGATTATTTAGCTGTCAATGATCACGTCTTCTAGTTTGGGTGTTAAATCAGGCTGGTAGGCGTGAGAGTGGATCTGTGTATCGAACGTTCATTTATAGTGATACACATCTCAGCCGCGTAGCTGGGCTACGCGTGACGAATGTTCCCGGTAACCGAATGAGGCGCGCTACGTGACGTGACCACTGTCTCCCGGCTGCCGACACCGTGAATACATCATTTTGCTCCGTCTGATCAGACATAATAACCGTCTCTTAATAGAATGACCCACTGGCTATACTAATAAAAGCATACCATTCCACGTTAATTGTATCTGTACACATTTAATCATACTTATTTAATGTTTTTTACTGCATATCTAATTCAAAAGTGGTTCGGTGACCCTCGTCAAGTTTATTATGACATTTTGATATCTACATACGGTAATTATATCGGAAATCATAATTAGTACGCTTACTCAAACTTTCAGGAAGTTATCTATTTTCTTATTTAAACAATATCAGCTCTTTACGATATAAGCTGAGATGAGTGATGATGAGGTCTTCCTTCGTTGCTTAGAATAACGTCCCGACATTATTATAATACCAACAAGAATGGGTTACGTAATCACAGTTAAACGTTAGAGGGCTGATGAAAGGTTGACCTCGGGCGTGGGCGTCTGGTAGACAATGATAATCCGAGGTCCACGAACTGCACCGGAATGCAAATAAATAGATGCATCATAAACAGGACGAGTCGGCAGTCGCACACCTGCTGCTGATCGGCGAAATAAACAAATGTGTACTATCATCGCATCGATACATCATACAGAAACAGGCATCACGGACACTAACGGATCTTGAACATTATTTCCCTTTTTTAGATTAGGATGTATAATTTCATTCTATTGCTATGGAAAATAAAGCGACAACATCAACTTTAACTAAAAATAATTTGGAGTTTTTTAAGTATGACCTTTAATCTCTTACCAGGTAACAATGTAGAGACATTTAAGGCACGTGCACAAACTTTTAAGCATTTTAATAATTTCACACAAAACGTTTCCCCATACAGATTTCTCTTCATTTAAATATCTTTTTGATCGAGATAAAATGATTTCGATTTAAGTGCAACATAAAATATCGTCGAATTTTATTTTACAAAGCAGAACAACTTAGCTATTAATGTATAAATAAGCCATAAATAAATCATGCTTAAAACATTGCTAATGGTAAAAGATTCGTTAGGTACTGAGGTAAGTGGCAAAAGTTGCGTGTCGAATATTCCCCGAAAGTTGTCACGTATTTTAAATTTATCTTATTAACGGGCTTCTTCAGCCTTTGCGAGTTTCTCTTTATCTCTAAGTGATGGATTTATTAAAAACGGAAGATTATATTCTACTTCTGATACCTAATAGTCAAATGGGCCGTTTTACTTACAGTAGAAAATGAGTTCACACAATAGTTTCAGACGTAGGTTCAGAGTTTATCTAATACCCTTCAAGACCTATGGAACGTCGTTATTTTTATTTTAATTATGCTATAAATCGCCTGTTAACAATAGTGAGACACGACACGACCCACTCTTTCTGCAGAGTGCCGGTCAAAATATTTAAAGGGCACATCGTAGGTACTCTACATTTCCTAACAAACCCTGTCTGTTAGAACATTAGAACCTTGCTGATACCGTTGACCCCGGCACGAGTGGCGAGACATCCCGCTGTTTGTTTAGCCAACAACTTGCACACGGACAAAGGAAAGTTGTAACAGCACGGGATCGTGCTATATATTCATAATCGAGATGCGAGGCGTAAGCGGTTTATGTACACACACAGATACACGAGTATGCATGAACCGCCTCTTCATGTCGTCAAGATTCGTCTCCTCTAATTTGTCGACAGTTTTATTGACAAATGTTTCTTTTGATCAAGTTTCCAAAACGTTCCTGAAGACGGTCGCTCGTCCCTCCTAAGTTGGTTCTCTGTGTATTTAAAATCGTTTTGTTTATATTTATAGTCGCAAAATACTTGAGAGTTGCATGGTTAGCATCATCTGTCTACAGGCTCATCATTAATCCTACATTATTTTCCATTTTGCATAATAGAATGTTGCGGACATTCGCTCGACGGACGAACTCACGCAACGAAACAATATCATCAATCAATTTGTTTATACTGACTATTGACTTTATGCTACGGAGTAAGAATTTGAAGATTATATTTGTATTGTTCGCTCATCATCGATGGGTAGGCGGGGCGGTGTATTGTTGCATAAAAAATTACATAAGATAAGACAAATATAATGTAAAGTCAATGCGAAGACTTAACAAAGGCCCTTTTAATTACCTATTGACGTCAATCTATCTATCAAATTTACCAATTGTTAAAATATAAGTTAAATAATATATTTTCATTAATAGTATGATTGTACTATAGTATACTGAACTGTTATGAAGAAAATAAATAGAATCAGCACAGTTTAATACGCACCACGAAACATGAGACTGGACTTGAGTATTTAAGGGTCTAAGCGCTCGTCAAGTCTCATCTTTAAATAAAATAAAAAAAAAAGAATTTTGGTCTCTTCGGGTTCGGGAGATTAAGGGGACTTTGGGGCATACTTAATTACTTTTATTTAGAAAAGATGTTTTTTTTTATGGAAAGTGTTCTTTGGAAATCAAACGCTGAAATTCATCGCTGACAAAGTTGCGCACCCTATTTGTGATCTACATCTTCAATTGCGTAAATTCATTGCGATACTGTTCATAGTTTTCTCTTATTATAAGAAGTTACCTTATGCAAGTATTTTCGCTATTATTAGTAGACCGCTGGCTTCCTCATGATTACAAGACCACAAAGAAAAAATTGAAAAAAAAAATCAAATTGTGTTTCCAGGCGGGGCGATGTTAAGAGCGACCACGACGGCGCTGGCGTGCCTCTGCTTGGCGCGCACCTCGCCCGCCGAGTCGCACAACCTGCGCCTGTACACGCAGCAGAACAACGTCAACCAAAAGGTAACAACCAATTCACTATTCAAATCTGACAACACGCAGCAGAACTACGTCAACCGGAAGATAAAAACAACTAATATTCTCAACTGACAAGATAATACGCAGCAAAACTACGCCAATCAGAGGCCAACAATAATCTTACAAGCCCATACTAATAAAGCGCAGCAACATCCTTTATCAATAACACGCAGAAGAACAACATCAATCAGAAGACATCAACAACCTTATTATACCTAACAGAAAACAAGCAGCAGAACAACGTCAACCAGAGAGTAAATAGAATCTTACTACCCTCAACCGATAACACGTAACTAAGCATCGTTTACAAGATGGTAAGAAAGAACAACTTTAAACAACCTTAATGTTTGAAGACCTATTATTAGATCGTTACAACTTCAAAGCAGGGTAAATAATAGGTTGAGGAAAAAGTCTTTTCGCATTAGTGTGTATGAACTTGTAATAAAATCTCTTTGGCTATACTATTTGCATCTGGCTGGTTTTGGTCTCATTTAAAAGTTAAACTTTTATTCAATTTTGGATTTTTATTTATTTTTCTTGCTGTCTAGAATCTAATGAAGAAATTCGATGCATTTAATAATTTTACTACAAAAAAGGTAAAATGCAACGCAAGCCGCGAAAAACAACTTTATTATGTTTATGGACCTAGTGCAGTGTCTGTGAGAGTATCACAAATTTGGTTTAAGCATATTTAATCCGGAAATTTTGATGTCATAAATACACGTCGCTTTGGTCGCCCGTCCTGTTACGGATAAAATGGATGCCTTTTTTCAAAAAGTGGAACAAGATCGGCATATCACTAGTCACGACGTAGTTGAAGAACTGGTAATTAACCACAAAACAGTTTTGGCGCATTTAAAAAAAGCTTAGTACACAAAAAAGCTCCATATTCGGGTGCCTCACGAGCTCACTGAAAGAAACCTCATGAACCGTGTACTCATTGTGATTCTTTATTACGACGTTATGAAACCGAACCATTTTTGAAGAAGCTGATAACTGGTGTTGAAAAGTGGCTACGTACGACAAGAACGTGCGAAAAAGGTAATGGTCAAAGGCTGGTCAGGCTTCACAGACTCTGGTCAAACCCGGGTTAATTATGTATGGTGGGATTGGAAGGGCATTATTCATTATGAGCTGTTACCGCCAGACAGGACCATCAATTCTGAACTGCGATCAACTGATGAGATTAAAGCAAGGAGTTGAGAGAAAGCAGTCGGAATTAATCAACAGAAGGGGTGTGGTTTTTCATCATGATAACGTTAGACCTCACACATATTTAGCCACTCAGCAAAAATTAAGAGAGTTGTACTGGAAAGTTTGAATGCATCCGCCGTATAGTCCTGACCTTGCACCTTCAGTTTCCCACCTGTCTCGGGCTCTTTAGAATTCATTAGGCAGTGTTAGGTTAACATCACGAGGGGACTGCCAAAATCACTTGTCGCGGTTTTTTGATCAGAAGTCCCAAACTTTCTATAGCAATGGGATAATGTATCCACCTATCTACAAGATAGCAAAAAGTTATCGAACAAAATGGCACTTACAAAGGCAAAACTTCCGCAAACTAATATGTAATTATTGATTTATAAAAAATAATAGATTAGGGCATAGCAAATATCGAATTGGAGCACCAGTGGATGAATGAGCCTCGTTACAAATATATCCTATATACTGCTGCTGGTGATCTTGTTTCTTTCAAGGATGAAGGATTTTAAGGGCAAGGTGATACGCTTGTTTGTCACCCTATTTGTAGCCGGTTAAAAGGCACTCAATAAAGTAGAATCAAGGAAGAGACAACCATAACCCACATACCATGACCATATAACGATGTTGTTCCCAACCCAGCTCGTTCAAAATATTATCCTTAAATATTATTACATCCCTAAAGTCGCGTTCTTTATTCCTCAGCTTTGACAACGTATCGAAGAACGAATAAATCCTTGCCGATATCGAACGGAGGAACTATGAACTATTGATCAATTGCTGCTAAACAATTATATTTCAGGATTTAACTGGTATCCTGGCAAGTATCGAGGACAGGCTACGGGTACTGGACTCTGTCAGCGCCGTGCAAGCGAAGCAGGCGCGCCGACTTGACGTCATCCAAGATAAATTAGGTGAGCGATTGTTTGTATCATTATGATTCATTCATCACACACAAGTGGTAATCGCATGAGGTGAGTTATATGCTTGATTGCCACCTCAGTAGTATAAAATAGAATTAAAACTATAGTTTACTGTGTTTAATCTGAGGCACGATCTTTATAGTTGAAGGCGCTTCTGAAACTAAAGTTGAACGTGATAAAATTGTCAAGTATAATCTTACTGTGTCATATCCTATTTTAGTGTAAACGCAGAGTTAACTTTCGTAACGCGTGGTTTCCAACATACACTGCAATTGACCAAACATTAGCAACGTTTAACCAATTAATTAAAATGATCCGCTTTTGAGAGATCCGTAGTATAAAATGATTCAATCTATCACCAAAAATGTCATGTTATGTCTCCATTTGTCTTTCCTAGAGACATATAAAAGAGACTTGTTGAACGTTAAACGAAATAAACGTAATTTCATGAAAAATTAGCAAATGACATTCCAGAATATAAATTATCATGTACTGACTGCATAAACAGCTAATAGATAAGTAATACACTTTACCCTATATTTCAGAACGTGTGGAAACCGCCTTATCTCTAAGGCTAGAAAGAGCCCAGTTAGCTGCAGAGAGGCTAGAACATCGGTTACACATGCTTCAAACAAGTGTGCAGGTACATAATTCTATTTCTACAAACGTTCTTCGTATTTATGATAGATATGATAGGAAACAAATGTGTTATTCAACATGAAGTAAATAGATGGTGATTTCCTTGTTTCTCGTTTCCAGGCATCTATCAAAGAGAGCAGTGACAAATTGGAGCGCAGTCAGATGAAAATTTCTGAGTCAGCGCAGAATCTCACCTCTCAAATAGCAGTACACAAACGATTACTGGATAAGGTAAAAAGTTATAAGTTATACGCGCCTGTCCAATATTTTATGGAAATTAAATTATATAATCCACAGAAAACAATAATCATTTATTTATTTATATAATAATCATCATAATCATGGCAGCCCGAGCGGGCGGAGAAATCAAAATTTATAACATCTTTAAATTCAAGTTATTTATGAGGTACGGAACTCAAATGTTGCTATAATAAAAATATTTATTTCAATAAGTAAGGTTTACATTGGACCTCAAATGTTGCTATAATAAAAACATTTATTTCAATATGTAAGGTTTACATTGATCCTCATACAAGTTTACAACGAACTTTGTTGTGAGTACTATTCGAGGCAGTTTTCCTGTCTATTGGAGCATTTATTCCGTGTTCATGAGAGATGGCAGACAACATAAATGTATGAATGAAACTAACGTCATTGGAAGCGCCAGAATCTGACCTTCATGTATGTATAAATTCACAACATTATCATCATCACAACCAATTATTGTCCCCAATTCTCCGGCACAAGCCTTCCCTATGGATGGAATAGGGAGGGTGGGTCATGTCATGGCTGACATGACCCACCACGCGGCCCTAATGCGGATTGGTGGGTACTAACGACTGCAGATGCAGCCGGGTCCAACGGCTTAACGTGCCTTCCGAAGCACGAAGGAGCTTGAGATAATAAGTTTTAGGCCACCGATCCAATGACCGACCATTGCGAAAGTTCCTTAACTTCCACAATCATAGGCCGAACGCGCTAACCACCTGCGCCATCTACCTCCTTCTATATTATTTTACATAACCTAGGTGAACGGGGCGTACGCAGACACTTGGCACCGAGGGCTAGTGTTGGAGGCGCTGATGCGCGACGGGCTGTCCCTGGTGAACGTGACGCGGCGCGAGCTGGCCGACGGGCTGCGGGCCCTGGCACGCCGGCAGCGCGAAGCGAGGCTAACCTCCGCAGACCTCGAGCTCGCCTTCACGAAACGACTCAACGACAACACGTACAAGATCGATTTAAAGGTTGTTCAACAATTACTAAAAATTATTAAAAAGAACTCGATTTGACTCAGGGTTACTCTGCACGTGCATACTCCACTGCAAACCTGCTGGGTGGAGGTTCGTAATAGGACTTCCCCAGATGCGTTAATAAATATTTCCAAATATTTATAATATAAATATTTCCAACACTCATACCAATTAGCCTAGCCCCAAAGTAAGTATTGAGTACACAGTAAGGCTTGTGTTATGGGATACTAGGGTAGCGGATAAACCAGGGGCGTCTCAGTGAAGTGGCGCACGCTAAGGTGCGTCGATCCTGAGACGCCCCCATATGGGCGTAGGAGGGTACCGGGGAGTTTTAGTGGAGTAGGATCAGTGTGGCCTTCCGCACTGGTCCTGCTTGAGTAGGGTCGGCACTGTTACCCGTGCCGGCGAGTCCCACACACGCCGTGCGCCTAGTCAGCGTCACGGTATGGTGCGTAACTGCATTTCCCCTCGTCACAAAAAAAAAAGGGTAGCGGATAAAAACATATACTGTACATATACGAGTATATTTATATAGAAATACATATTAAACATCCATGACTGGAGTACAAATGCTCGTATTCATCACACAAACATCTGCCCCCACCGGGATTCAAACCCTCTAGAGTCGGCGACACTTTTAAACTCGCATACAAACCACTCAGCCACGGAGGTCGTCAAATCTTCGTACAGACAAACAGGCAGCTTTCGAGAAAGGAGTATAACCAAGGGCGGATCCAGCTTTTGCGTCAGGGGGGGGGGGATTGGTCATATAGTCGTGGGTACAGATGGACCCAGTCATGAGGGTCATGATCTATCCCTTCGGGCACGGAACGAAACACTAAAATTTTTTTTAAGAAGCATTATGCTTCTTGTAATGTAAGTTAAACCTTGAGATTCTTCAAAATGTTTGGAAATTAATTTATGGACGTCTTATTTTTGCAGTCTTTAAGTAAAGACGTACAACAAACAATACCAGCTATGAATAATAGAATTAATATAGCATTTCTAACTTGCGATAATCTTCATAACGTCTTAATTAATTTGATTACAGATGAAAGAATTACTAGAGGTGCAAAAGCGTTTCGTCGATTCATGTCAACGAGTACAGCTAGATGACCCCAATCATGTAGCCGATGTGCTGGACAAGCTTATCGACACACTCATCAATAAGTAATTAATTTAATTTTTAAAATCTAATTCGCTATCTTTAGCGACAACACGTCTTTACACCTAATTTCATCAACCATTGTTATTGATCTAACAGCTTGTCAAGCCATTTAAAGGACTGTTCATGTTTTTTGCATTCCATCAAACATTTACAGAGGAATTTCCTCCTTGATGCGGTGCGCGACATATTTCTAAAAGCAGTCATCCTCAGGTCTACATTTCTGGGCATTGGTTAAACTTCATCACAGGCACAGAGATCCATTACATGATAAACAGACGATTCATATATATCAAACCTCGGCAAAATCAGCATCTATAGAATATTATTTTCAAAGATGAAAATGCTTTAAATAATATAAATAATATGGAAACCATTTTACGCCTTCCGACAATTGTGCCAATTTTGAAAACAATTTTGAATAAATACCTTGGAGTGTGTATATTTATACTTACCAATCAAATAAAGAAAGGTATGATACATTACCACATATCATAACAACAAGCCAAAATCCCAGATTTTTTTGAAATTTCTACGATCAAATCTATCTAGTGAATGTCATTTTACTTTTGGTCACCTTACCTTACTATGTTTCCTCTGAAAGTAGGACATGTTATCATATTTATGCCAAACAAATGGTGACATATTTTTTTGTCGTTTTAAAATATGAGTGTATGATTTTCAAATATTTGATGGTAGATTTAGTAATATTCTGTTATATTTGTTTCTTAGGTTTTCACGCACATCACTCATTAAATAAAACTAGTTTTTCACGGGTTAATGAACGGTCATGGTCTGATATATTTTTATTATAAGATTTAAATTAATTTAACAGCTTTGTTAGTTTTAAAGAACCATTAGCTAACAAAGATTTGACAAAGTTTGGTGAAATTGGGTCTTTATCAACAAGTTCGCAACATTTAGCGATGCGACAATAGTAGTAGTTCAAAATTACAGAATATTCACATTTATGAAAATTTCAATCACAAAAATAAATCAATTTCAACTTTCTGCCTATGACTGTTCATAAGGTACCTACAGCCTGCGTACAGACAGACAGTCAGCTTTCAAGGAAGGAGTATCACGAGGATCTGTCCCTTCAGGCACAGAACGAAACCCTATAAACAGATTGAATTTTATTTAAGCTTTGATTGTACGCATAAATTTGTCGTTTGTCCCTAGAAAAAGCACAATAGCACACAATCAGACAGTTTAAAATAAATAAGAGCATCTCTTTTCGACTACACTCAGAAAATGTTAATATTTTTTTTTAGTTTGATTATAATTGCTGCTATCACTTTCTGTACGATAGATTGATAATTGGATTGTCCGAGTGCAAATTTTTCTTTACTAACAGACATCACTAACACATTCTATATTGTAATATTGTTTTCAAAACAGGACTGCTTCAACATTCCATGAACTTCAAAACATTCAAGTTACAATACGAAACCACGACTCGAAAGTACAAAAACTGATCAACTCCGGTCGCAATGTTCAGGTAAGCCTTTACAAGCATTAGAAGTAAACTTAACAGCAAATTAACTTACTTTAATAAAAAAAAATGCGTAGAGGTTTTCAAATTACAATCTTACAAAATTATTCACGTTAAGTACCACTTTATTTCTATCAAAGATGAAGCAACAAAGATTAAATTATTGATGATTGACATATAAACAAAGGATTGAGGATGTTATTCCGATCTATTCTCTATTTAGATTATTTTGATTTATTTATGTAGATATTATGTTGAACTGATAATAATATTTTTTTATATTGAAGTCTAATTAAGATGGTAGATCGCATTTACAAAGTATAGAACGCCATCTAGTGTGGAGTAGCAACTCTATAAATTAGCAGTTTGACAAAAAATGTGATTTAATGCTGATTTCTTTCTCTAGAATACCTTTTTTCAGTAATCACGGTGTCTTAAGTTTTGTGTGAGTAATTTCCATATAATTATACTTACTAGTGCTTTATAATTAAGAGCAATTTAACGAAAATATGCACAAAATACATAGGTAGTAGTAATAATATATGATAAGGATCAGTCTGTGGAATATTAAGCTTCAGTGCAAATTTTTGTTCGAGTTATTGACCCCTCCCCTGAGAAAGAAAAATGTCGTACAAATTCATTAAAGATTACTTTATATTATACGTACATAAAACGTTTTTAGACGTGTAAGCAGGTTGGTAGTAATTGTTGACTAAATGTTGACGAATACCGCATTGGAGTTTGGGTAGGTCCCAAGCACGAACTCTAACAGATCCTTATTCGTATCGCTAACGTCAAAGTTTATATGGTAACTAAGCAGCGTCCCTACCGGGCGTAAGAACAAACCAGCTTTTTCCATAGAAAATTTGACATGCCGATATGAATACTTTCTTGCTAGTTGGTCGTGCTTCCAAGCACGATCAATGTTGCGATTTGTGATGAGCAACTTCGGAACGAAACCCTACATTGCTGGTGGCCAGGCACGAAATTGGCCAGATTTTCCTTTCGGTGGTTGCCACATCAGCTACCTATGTACTCCACTCACTAACTCACAAATTGATATCACGGGACATGAAGTACTTAGCTGGGCTTTGTGTATTGATAGGTAGATAATAGGCAATATTATTCGATATTTCAGAGTGACTCAACATGCCGGCGCCTCGAAAGCGTCATACGGAACAGCACACACGTTACATTCAAAGAAAACGAATTGCAGCAGTTAACTGAGAAGTTAGTTGACCTGACCAACCGCGCCGACGCCGCCCTGCAACGTCTTGAGACGAAGCTCAAAGACGAAGAGCCTTCACCTAATAATATCACTGCTGCAGCCGATCAACTTATACTAAAACTTAACGGAATCAAGTATGTCGCTTATTTAAGCAGGACGATTAATACTATAATGGTGTAAATTTATTGGACCATTCATTTTGATTAAGGCGCTGCGCAAACGTGGACACTTTTGTGTCTTGAGTCGGATACATACAACCTACCAATGACTATTTGATTTCTATAGAACCAGTATGAAATCGCGTATATAGCGCGTAAATATTTTTTGTGTCCAGTTGATTCCACTATACACATACTCGTTGACGATAAAAAAACTGTTCGGTATCGGTAACTGGAAACTAAAATCGTAGTGACCAGTGATTAGGGTGTCAATTCTTCTGTTAAAGTAATAACCGTGTGTTAATCGTGTTACTGTAGTTTTGATTTTTAACACAATTATTGTTGCGAAAATGCAAAATTACAATTGCTTTTACTTACTATTTTTTTATTGTTATAAATATTCATTTATTATTTTATGTTTTAGTAACAAGGTCTGGTTTAATAAGCAATACTATTGAACCACTATTTAAACATGATTTTTACAAAAGCTTTAGAAAAATCGACACCCAGGAGTAGCAACCGGCGACTGTATCCGATCGCCGCTACAGGACACAGCAACTATGGTTTCCTATAATGGTGTGCCGTCAGTACAATGCGATTCAACTAACAATAGGACTAACTGGGCGCCACATTGTGACGTCATAGCTGTCAATTCAAACAAAATAGGTAGTGAACAAAAAAAGTTTTTAATTAATAAAACTTATTAACTAAGATTAGGTGAGAAAAAACATCAGATTTTTTAATAAAATTATTTATTAAGTTAGAGGAAAAAACATTAAACAAAATCTAGCTCTTCAATTCCGCTCATCTCTGCATTACCGCCGGAGTAGTTATGAATAACCATGTATTATGGCTAGGTCACATACGAACATGCATCCTTTATGTAATAGAATGTTTTAAATCGAGTTTATGAACGCAACTTAAAGTGACATTTGGTTGACGATTTAGGTTATCAAACAGCCATAGCCAAAAAGCTCAAAAATTTTAAAAATTATAAACTATATTAATCATTCATATTTGTTATTGTTTGTTCAATTGTTTGGTTTTTATTCTAGAACTAGCCGAGTGCTAATAAAGGGTTCCAAGATTTTTTGCAAACGGTACTTTTCAAGCGACATTTGACAGGTGGAGGTCATTGGCTTTCCTATTCTTATTTGAATCGCATTATAACGTTTACATTTGCGCAGCGCCTACATAAGTGCTTGGCCAGAATTAACGCACAGGTGGACTGCACCCGAAGTCAAATGCGGCTTTTTTCTAAGCGTCGTTAAGACCAATGTTTGACATAAAAATTATACGAATGAGGGATTTCTTTAAATGGCAAAAGCTACAAGTGACAAATGGGGCTTCCAAAAGACGACATTCAGCGCCCACTCGTTTTTGACAAAGTTACTTATGGATGAACGCCGTGTTATCGCCATTGAACCTAGCTTAGTCAGGGTAACGAGAGTGCGTCGCGTGGACAACGCGCGGTCCACTTGGGAACCGGGAGTTGGTTAACGCAATCCAGACATTAAGCAGTTGTGTGTTGTGGTCCGCCGTCGAGGCGTTCAGCCGCTAGAAAAAAGGGGTTGATAGGGCTTATAAATTTCCAGTGCCAACCTTTCTATTATCACTAAGATATAATCCACATGACCGACGTCTTTTAAGCAAGCAGACAATGCTCATTCAGTCAGCCAAAGCTAAAATAGTGTTGTCTGCTGGTTAAAAAAAATTGTCTGTCATGTGAATTAGCCCTTACATTGCGGCAATGCAATATAGTATAATTTTACAATATGCAAGATAAATGGCAATGTGAGCTGTTGAAATATTCTGTGTTTTCTCCAAGTCTAATGTTTATGAGGTAAAAGTTATTTATATTATGGCTAATGATTATTTCAAATTATGATTGACAGAGGAGAAGATGAATCTGATGAAGAATTTGATTGGGAGGAAGATGACCCTGAAGAGAAAATCTTCTATAATGATGGTGGAGGTGGTGACATAATGGAAGAAGACAAGGAAATACTCAGTGCTATTGATAATGGTAAACAGATCAAGGAAGACCCCACAGAGAGACCACTGCATCGAAGACATCTTCACAAACACCCATATGATCGAGGTCCCAGCTGGAGGAACTAGTTGTTGTAAATTTTGTTTTTTACTTTTATATAATATATAGATGTGTGAATAAGAAATAAAATTATTACTTTTGAATGACACGTCTTTAAATAATTTTAATATGTTAAGTTGACATAATAAAATAATCTTAGTAATGGTCACTGGGTATTTTATTTTTTCAGTTTTTAAATTATTTAATTTCTAAAATAAAAGTGTAATGTGTACATTCCAAAAGTGTAATGGGACATTGCAACATGTTTTATGTATGATTGAATTATGGTAGAAATTAAATGCCTATGATTTCTTTAAGATCCTGTAGAAAAGTACCTACATTAAAAATCCCTTCCATGGTTGACGTGTGAATGCTAGTGGCTCTTATATATATACAGGGCGTCCCACGGCTACCTCACACGGAGGGCAAGTATATTAAATATTGAAGATATATTTTACTGAAATGAGACATCGTTTTATTTTTAATAATAACTCGAACTACATTCACAGATTTTTTTAAAATCGTCTGCTACAACTGGGAATCAAACTCGTGAAATTTCGAAAAAATAAACACAACGTATTTTATGATAACAATCGACAGGGTAAATCATAAGGATTATTTTTTGCTAAATAACATAGCATTTTAAATGAAAGGAATGTCTTATTTCGTGATACAAACTGTAGTAGGTACGTATGCATTTCTTTTTGAACTCATAGTTACAATGCGATTGGCTGAAATTTGTAAAAATAATAATTTAAAAATGGAACACATAAATTTTCAAGCGACTTTTCTTTTGTTTTTTGTAAGTTTCATTTTCTTTTTCTTTTTTGCAATTTGATACTTTAAGAAATTTATGACATTTTAATATGCGCTTACCACAACAGTGGATGATAAATGTCAATGATGATGAACTCAACATTTTAAACTTACTTTGAGGTGTATCCCATTTTATATTATTTTGTGTTTAATAATTTTAAATGATATGTTAAATTAAATTACTTTTATTTCATTTAAAATGCTATGTTATTTAGCAAAAAATAATCCTCATGATTTACCCTTTCGATGGTTATCATAAAATATGTTCTGTTTATTTTTTCAAAATTTCACGAGTTTGATTCCCAGTTGTATCAGGCGATTTTTTAAAAATCCGTGAATGCAGATCTTGTTAATATTAAAAATAAAATGATGTCTTCTTTCAGTAAAATATCCTATCTCCAATATTTAATATACTTTCCCTCCGTGTAAGGTGGCTACCTTGTGGGACTGTATAATAAAATTTACTGAATGTTTTAAAGGAAGAATAATGACTCTGGCTATTAAAGGCTTCAATATTATATTACTTTACAAAAACAGATTTGGTTTAGGTACAATGATTTGACTGAATGATTAGTAAGACCAAACAATTTTGTAAACCTACATAAATAAAGAATATATTTATTTCAATTGTATATACCAAAATAATATATTATTGCATATCAGATCTGCTGTGCATAGTGATGATCCAGTCATTATACAGGATTAATGCTGGTAGATCCTAATTCATATTATAGATTTATTAATCTATTTATGAATCACAAGCATTTATTAATTTATAAATGCCTAGAATTCCAGACTTTAAAGATTTAAGTGAACACTTTAGAGTTGTCAATTTTGATTACTAGATCATTGATCAAAAATAACCATGAATTTCTAATGAATTAAGTAACATAAATAAGTTGTATTGTTATTTTTTACATTTAACTGCTAGATCTATAAATCTACAGAGAATTTTAACTAGATAAAATTCCACTCAGACCAGGTTTCTGATAGGATTCGAACCTGAGCCCTTGTTTACTATCAAGACTAGATGCACTGTCTTTTTGTTTTAATAAACACCTACAGTGATGTTGATTCTGGCATGATTCTCTAAACTTAAACAAAATTTAAAATCAGTCTATGTCCTTAGTACTATTTTAAAAGAACACTCACTAACCGAATTTGGTCCTTCTCTTAACTTATTACAGCGACTGAAGCACAAAGGCTGCATATCTAAAAATGTGTCATTCAGTAAATTTTCGAATAGATATTTTGATTTTTTTGGTCAATATTTTTATAATAAAATTAAAAAGAAGGTAAAAATTTACAAAGTGACAAAGTTTAAATGTAAAGAGGCTACTCCTGCTTTTCTGAAGGGTCATAGCTATGATGAGACTGAAGAGCTTCTAACTGTTCCTACATAATTAACTCATAATGTTATTAAATACGAGTTCTCAATTAAACACACATTCATACACTTCCATATGCACGCGCGTACACACACGCGCGCATATACACACACCACACAATACACGGCACACACACGTGACAAACACACGCCACACACACAGCATAACACATACTCACAAGTAAATATTTCTGTTAAATTATTAGTAAGAGGTACCATTATACACCTGATCCAGAGTCGAAGAGGCTGGTTATTTGTCATGCAAGTTCTCCTAGAGCAGACGCCAGTCCCTTGTGAATTTGCTGTACACCTTACTTTTTACTATTATATTATATGTGAGAGAACAAATAAAGCTTTTTTGTAAACTTTCCTTGTCATTTTGTATAGAGAATGACAAGGATACACTGTTGTCAAATTTAAGTTTAGGGTTAGAGAATCATGCCAGATTCAACACTAGTGAGGTGATGAATTTCTTCTAGTACTACTCAGTCAGCAGTTTAAAGGTATTTTCTTTGCATAGTAAGCACATATTTCAAATAAGATACTGTTACTAGTACTACAAATTATATTAATTAATGATTATGTGCAAAGGGAATAAATCACATTCTGCACATGCACATCTAATCACCCTTCATTTGCAATTCCCAATCTCCAATCAATAAGCTAATGAGCCTCTGGAACTTCAGTCACAAATATAAACTCAACATTACCAAAAGGTAATGTTTTTTGTAGTTATGGTCTTTTGGTACGGTAAATTATGAAAATTGACATACCTCTAATTTAGCACTGTTCTGGAATATGGTGAGAGCCTTGTGTGTGAGCTGTGCAAAGCATGAGCTTAGTGTAGCAATTTTCTGGCGTGCTGAAAACACCACCTCTGGCTCTTCTGTTTCCAGTTCCGCTGTAATAGTTAACAATTACTATAAAAACTTAATTTAGTACACTTAAACCTACATGTGTACATAATAAATTCAATTCTTTACATAATGCTGAAATGTTATAATCTGTATGATAAAAGCTCCTCAGGCAGAACTACTAACTAGATATACCTTTATAAGATCAATTTTCTGAATAAAGAAAGTTAGTTCATTACTTTTCTTTATATTGCATGAAGCCGTTATTCAATTGATGTTATTACCAGGCAATAATATGGATGTAAATATTGGTATTTAAGTGGAACAAAAGATTTTTTCAAATTGTAATCTTCATAAAGTAACTAAGACCAAAACAAAGTTCAATCTATTTGATCATGATTATAAAACTTTACCTTCATGTTATTATTGGGAAAATACTTACTGAGAGATGTATCTAACTCGACACATGCTTTATCAAACTCTTTTTCTAATAAATCTAACCATCGAAAACCCACTCCGGTAGTCGCCATTTTTCACAATAAATGTTGTTATTGTTTTTTTTTTTATTTATCTTGCTTTGAATACTCAGTCCTTTAGCCGAATGTTAGTTGACTTTTTTTTATCAGCAAATGACAGCCAGGATACAAGTCCATAAAGCCGAACACATAGTACAAATATTGACATTGACACAGTGTGGCCAGAAAAAATTTAACGAAAACACCGAAACACCTCAAAAAAATACTGAAACATACCATTTGCACAGAGAAAATATACCAATAAAAAAGTGGCTTCAGACTTTCTCATTTCAGAACCAATACAATATTAAAAAAAAATGGTTGCCTGTAAAGTCGGTTTTACGGGCGAAGATTTTACGTGACAACGTCTTTTTCTCGGTAGAATATTTATTGATATGAATATAATTAAATTGCACAATAGGAACAAGGAATTGAATGAAAATAAGAATTGCACAAATTTTAACTATAGAAATATATTTTGTTTACTAAAACATTGTACATGTAAACTTAAACTTAACACGAGAGACTCATCGTAACGTTACCGAGCGTTACACTTTTTCATAAGTGACTCCCAGCCGCAACCTAATTTAAGACGTTGTCACGTCAAAATACTGATTTGTCAAAACAGGTGAACTCTTTTTACTAAATTTATCTGTGAACTTAAGGGCTCGCGTGCAACATTCGATACACACTGATTTACTTTTTAACAGAGATTTATTCAAACTTCATATTTTTCTATTTAACTGTTATATAATAATCAGGGTTAATTTTAAAATACCGGTAACCTCGTAGTACTAGACATCTAAGATCATACACAACAACGTCTGTTCTACGAGTTTTGAAAAATAGTTATTTTTTAGTTTAATACAACAATGGTGCCAATTCTGGAGTGATTCTCTAAACTTAAAACTAAATTTAACATCAGTCTCACCTTTTCATTCGGTAAAGAGAATGACAAGGATATACTGCTGTCAAATTTAAGTTTAAGTTTAGAGAATCACGCCAGAATTAGGCCCAATGAATAGTTGGTTAATTTACCGCCCGAATGTTATTAACTCTACAGACACGTGGAATCGGTGGTGAAGGAAAAGGGCTCGCGGGCGGGGTAGGCGGGTGCGGCGCTAGCGATTGGACTTGATTGACCTATTTATCACCTCACGCCTGCATTAATTTAAAAATGAAAACAAAATAATAGGTACCAAGATAAGTACCAATATTGGACATTAAACTCGGTGTAAGTAACTTAAAAAACGATAAAGAATAAGAAAACGATTTACGTAATCATAAATCGTTTTTACATATTTTGGAAGATAATATACCTAAGTGTTTGTTTTCAAATGTTTAATGTAGTAAGTTAAGAATGAAGTGATTGTGGATTCAGTGTACCTAGTGCATACAAGCTAAGTGAGCAATTAACTATGTAAATAAAGTATCTGGTAAAGAAATACAATGGTGTCGGGTTCTGGCGTAATTATCTAAACTTAAAACTGAATTTAACATCAA